TTAATGAAAGTTTACAGAGACTTTGGATTTCCATTAATTCATTGTTGCACTTTCTCCCTGCCCACCCTCTTTCCCCCAATTCACTCTTCTCTTTGAAAATTAAAACCGCCATGAGATATCATCTCACCCCAGTCAGAATAGCAAAATTTAACAGAACAGCAAGCAACACATGTTGGTGAGGTTATGGAGAAACTGGAACCCTTATTCACTGTTGGTGGGAGTGTAAAATGGTGCAGCCACTGTGGAAGGCTATATGGCACTTTCTCAAAAAGTTGGAAATAGAAATACCATTTGACCCAGCAATTCCACTACTGGGAATCTACTGTAAAGAAACCATAACCGCCACCCAAGCACATACATGCACACCCTTGTTTATTGTGGCTTTGTTCACAATAGCAAAGAGTTGGAAACAACTCAAGTGTCCATCAGAAAAATGAATGGATAGAGTCACCTTCTATCTTCTATCTTCTTTTAATGCTTCCTGAATCATTCAGTATTCTGCCCATAGCAATCTTAAGCATTGCAACTCATGCCTTGAATTTGTTCTTTAGTTCCATCAGCTTATGATATGCTGAACAAGTTTGGCCCTTTTGATTTTCCGCCCCCAGCTCCTTGCACATTTCATTATAATATCTTACTTTGGCTATCTGAGCTGCCCTTTTGAAATTTTTTACTCAGTTCCTTAACTTCTTGATTTCTTCTCTTTGCTTTGGCTTGTCCATGGTCTAGTTTAGAGTCTAGTTTAGAGTCTTCTTCTGACACCTATTTTGGTCTTTGCTTCTTCCTTCTTTGTAATGACCTTTAATATTCTTAATGGACAATATCTGTGTTTCATTAACTGTGCAAAGGCATTTGACAGTGTGGATCACGACAAAATTGTGGCTAACCTTGAGGAAAATGAGAATCCCAGGACACTTGATTGTGCTTATGCGAAACCCAACCTTGGACCATGAAGCAGTCCTCAGAAAAATTCAAGGAAACACTGCATGGTTTAAACTCAGGAAAGGTGTGCATCAGGGAAGCATCCTGACTCCATACCTCTTCAATCTGTATGCAGAACATATCATTCAGGAGGCTGGTCTTTAAGAGGAAGAATGTGGCATCAGGATTGGAGGGACACTCATCAACAACCTGTTAAAGAATTTATGCCTTTGAGTTGTGGTACTGGAGAAGTCTTGAACAAACTATGGACCGCCAAGAAAACAATTAAGTCTGTCTGGGAGAGGGTGAAAGGTCTTCGGTGGAGTCAAGGATTTTGAAGCTCTGTCACACATACTTTGGGCATGTGGCCATGAGGGACTGGTCCTTGGAGAAGGACATCATGCTTGGAAGTGTGGAGGGACAACAGCACAGGAGAGGAGGACCCCATATGAGATGGATTGATACAGTAACTGGGGCAGTAGGGGTTGGATGTGTCAGAGTCATTGAGACTGGTTCAGGACAGGACAAGCTTCAGAGCTGTTGTGTATACAGTCGCTCTGGGTCACAGGCAACTTGATGGCACATAACAACAATAACAGCTCTGGTTTGTATAATTTTTATTTACCTCTCTGCGTGTTTACTTGAACTTTGGCACTCACCTAATTAAGAACACTGTTAATTAAATTCTGTGCTTATAAAGTGAGATTTTCTGTGCCATGTAAGTCGGTAGAATTCAGACCATAACCCATTTAGGAGGCTAGCTTACATTCTTTTTTTAAAATTTCCATTAATTCATTGTTGCACTTTTCTCCCTGCTCATCCCTCTCCCCCAATTTGCTCTTTTCTTTGAAATGTAAAAGAAAAATTCTTCCACTGTTATACAATCCCTCCCCCCCAAGTCCACTCCACTGTGCAGTCTTCATTCTGGACTCCTGTCGTGACAATAATACCTAATGATATACCCCTTTTAAGCAGTTCTCTCCCTCTGTTTCAATGCAGTATACATAATTTATCCCCTTTCTCAGTCTTCCCTCAACCCTGATGTCAGTCCCATTTTACAACAGTGGCCCTATGCAATATTTGTCCTTCTGTGACTGAGATATTTCATTCAGCATGAGTTTCTTGTTTTTCAGTGCAGCATAGTAATCCGTTGTGTGAATGTACCAGAGCTTCTCTATCCATTTATTTGTTGATGGGCACTTGGGTTGTTTCCAAGTTTTTGCTATTGTGATAAAAGCCGCAGTAAATACAGGTATGCATATATGTACTTGGGTGGCAGTTATGGTTTCCTTAGGGTATATTCCCAGTAGAGGAATTGCTGGCTCAATTGGTATTTCTATTTCCAACTTTTGAGAAAGTGCCAGACCACCTTCCATAATGGTTGTACCATTTTATATTCCCGCTTGCAGTGAAAAAGGGTTCTAATCTCTCCACAACTTTGCCAGAATTTGTTGTTTGCTGCTCTGTAGAACTTTGCTGTTACTGGGGTGAGATGGTAGCTGATAGTTGTTTTTATTTGCATCTCTCTTGAGAGCTTAGGGATTTTGAACATTTCTTCATGTGTTTGTTTGCATCTGAATGTCTTCTTTGGTGAAATGTCTAGTCATATCCTGTGTCCATTTTATGTTGGGGTGTTTACTTTTTTCTTGTTGAGGTGCTGGGGTATTCGATAAATTTTAGATATGAGTCCCTTATCATATATATATCGTTGTTATGTGTCATTGAGTCACCTGCAACTCATAATGACCCTATGTACAACGGTCCTATTCTTACTGGTGTGAGACGATATCTCAAGTTGTTTTGATTTGCATCTCTCCTAGAGCTAGGGATTTTGAACATTTCTTCATGTGCTTTTTGGCTATCTGAATGTTGTCTTTGGTGAAGTGTAAGCCCATTTTTGTAGTCATTATGTCAATCCATTTCCTTGATACTATTGAAAATAGATTAATAATTCAGTGTCTTGTTTGTATTTCTTTAAGCATCACTAGTTGTTACTGGAGACCCTTTTCCACCCTCACTATAAACTACCTTGGGCATTTTTTTATTTGAGCACTATACTAAATTTTTTATAAGTTTTATATTTGAATTGTGACTATGTAAACAATTTTTTTACTACTTCTTGAGGTAGGCATGTGAGGTTACCAAATACTCATCCTTGTTGAAATCTTTTATGACGGAGATGTCTTTCTGGCCTTTGAAGTTGGCATAGTCCAGTATAGCTACTTCAGGGGGTGTGGCTACAGAAAAATATGTTTTAGTTGTTGAGTGTTCTTGCTTTCTAGTAATTTTATTTTCTGCTCAAGGGATTTAGTATCTGTTCAGATCCTTTATTTTTAAAAGCTGCATAAGTAATGACTTGACCTCTAATCTTAGCTTTGACATTTTTCCAGGCACTTGTAAAGATGTCTGATGACCTGTTATTTCAGAACACCACTTATTGGCCAGTAATCAGTGCCACATAAAATGTATACTTTACTCTGAAAATGTATATTTTACTCTGAAAATACATAACTTTTATTAGTGCGTTTCTGCATGTTATAACACAATTTTTATGATTCTTGAGTGTTGTTTTATTATTCTTTTTACATGATATGATTAAAACTCGATATAGTTCAAACCAGGTGAGCTCAAATGCTGCCATGAATTAGTCCTTAGAAAAACATTCTTTAAACTATAATGTTATTGGAAAAAATACCTGTCTCTTGAACCAAAAAAAAAAAAAAAAACAGACCCCGTTTTAAGTATGAAGGATTCTCATAGAAAAGACCTCGAGTTATGCTTTTTTTTTTTTTATGTGAATGGAGATCTATTTGCAGTAAATAAGGATTTTAGAAAAGGTCAAGTTACTGATGACTAGATCAGCAGTTAAAATATCTGGGCTGTTCACATCAGATCATTAATTAGTAGAATGGAAAGAAGTTTATCAGATTGTTTTAATCTGTATGGGAAGTTATGCATACAGAAGAAGAGGAAGAAAAATTATTTTCTCCCAGATGTTAGAGAAATAACCTAGTTTTTCTGTTTGGCCGGTCTTACTTTTTTTCTACCCATAGCAAAAGAACTTTTCAGTAAGACTCTCCCTGAGTACAGTGTTGTTTTTTTGAGATTGACAGGAAATGTATTTTGCTACTTCATTATGTTTTTTTGCTTGGCACTTTGTTAAGAATAGTTCCTTCTTGTACAAAGAGAAGAATGACCACTTAATTACTTGTGTTATTGAATTAAAATTTAATTCATTAAAATAAAACACCTAAACCTAGTTAGTCTGTTCTTGAAGAAATTAATAGAAATTTTTCCTTTGATTCCAGTGGAAAGAAATTTTTTTCTATTCATTTACTCACACTTATAAAATAGGTTTATTTTTCTCCTCTGTCAAGAATAATGATATATAAAGTCAGAAAACAGATTCAGTGTTAACTTAAAGTTTCCCATATTTTTATCTTACTATACCATCAGTGATAAATAATGTGACTAACTAAAATGGAAAAGTTCAAATTTTCCATGTGTGCTTTTTAAGCTTTCAGAGGTACTGTATACTCTGGAAATAATAATAAAAGATAGTAGGACTTACACAGTGCTTGTTGTGTAAGGAACTCATAAACACTAATGCATTGATCCTAAAACAGTACTTGATTGTAACTGTAAAAGGTCATGAGTTACTGCTTGTTGCGGGGTGTGAGGGAGGGAGAAGATGGGAGGAAGCTTCAATTTAAAAATACTGTTTTAAAACTAGATGAAAATTGAATGAGATGACTGAGAAAATACTACTTACGCAGGGTTTTTATTGTGTTTGTATGTTCACTTTCCTTATGGCCATGATAGTTCTCTTTTTAGCTATTTGAAGCTATTTTCTTTCTTGAAAGGGCAGAATGCACGTTTAAGTATTTGTCCTTTCTCACGCAAGAAAGCTTAACCCTGGTGGTGTTCTGAGTAGTTTGTCACATTAATATAACAATGCATTTTGTTTACCCTGAATTAAAGAATCACCTTTATCACTTTTTGGTTTAACATTTGAAATTTAATGAGTTTTATTGATATCTTGGTTATGTGCCTTAATTTTCAACTTGTGTGTTTTGTAGGTTTATTCTTCAGTCAAAGGAGGTAATTCACAACCAGCTATTAGAAAAACAGAAAATAGCAGAAGAAAAAATTAAAGAACTGGAAGTAAGTTTTGAATGAATATTGGCAATAGTGATCAACTTTTAGTAGTACTAATACTTAATACTACCATGTTTAAGCTTTATTAAGTGAAAATGTATGCTTATAGCTCATGCCATGTTTTTTTCATTTCTTTAATGTATTTAAACTTTGAAAGAAGTCTTATTTATGAACTTGTATAAAACTGGAGGGGAAAGAATTGCTTGGAAATGATATAAAAAATTTAAGAAGATGCTTTTAACTTGGATGTATTTTTCCCTGTCACTTTTGAATGAATGTTTCTGTTACTAAGAAAATGAAATGTGATAGGATTTATTAAAACATCACATATATACAGTGGATTGTGGTAGATAGTGAAACAGAGGAGAAGGGGAATGATAATTATAGTTAGAGGATCTTGGTTATAGTCTTTAACATCTAGTTTAGGTTTTAGACAGACTTAAGAGTTTTGTTGTTTTTAGATACCTTGAGTTGATTATGACTCGTAGCACCACTCTGTGTCCAAGAGATTGACGCCTTGTCCTGTGCCATCTTCAGGATATCTGATGTGGTTAAGGCAACTTTTGCAGTCACTATGTTAATTTATCTTGCTGAAGATTTTCCTCTTCTCTGATTCTCTGCTTTTGCAAAAATTATGTCTTTTTTCCAGGGACTAGCTCCTTCTATAATAACATGTCCAAAATATGTAAGAAGTATTACTGTTCATGCCATTAAAGAGTACCCTGTCTGCTCATCCTCCAAAATGGATATATGTATTCTTTTGGCAATCGATGGTGTATTCAGTAACTTCACTAACTTTGTATTTAAGTCATGAATAATTCTTTGATCCTCCTTATTCATTGTCCAATTTTCAGATGTGTAGGAAGCAATTAAAAATACTATGGCTTGCATCAGACACACCTTAGTCTTTAAATGGACATCCTTCCTCTTTAGCAAATTAAAGAGGTTATTGATAGCAGATTTTCCTCATGTAACATAGCTTTCTTTTTTTGCCTGCTGCTTCCATGTATGTTGATTGTGAATCCAAGTAAATGGACATCCTTGACAACTTCAATCTTTTTTCCTTTTATTATGAGAATTGCTATTAATCCAGTTGTGAGGATTTTTGTTTTCTTCATGTTGAGGTATAATCCATGCTGAAGTATATATTTCAGGTCCTCTTTACTTCCACACTCAAAATTGTATAGCTTCTTGATCCTGGTGCGTGATGAGTCTTCCTGTACCCTGATGCCAGTTTCTTCTTCATATAGCCCAGCTTCTGGGATTTTGCTCAGCATACAAATTAAATAGTTGTGGTGAAAGAATACAGCTCTGGTATATACTTTTCCTAATTTTAAGCCATAAAGTATCTTTCTGTTCGGTTCAAACAACTGTTTCTTGGTTCATGGATAGCTTCCTTTTGAGCACCATTAAGTGTTTTGGAATTCCCATGTTTGCAGTGATATCTGTGATTTATTATGATCCACCCAGTCCAATGTCTTTATAATCAATAAAACACAAGTAAATATCTTTCTGGGTATTCTCTGCTTTTAGCCAAGATCCATCTGATATCAACAGTGATATTCCTCATTCCACAGTCATCTGAATCCAGCTTGAATTTCTGCCACTTCCATGTCTGTGTAGTGTTTCAGCCATTTTTAAATAATTTTCTACAACATTTTGCTTGAATATGATATTAATGATACTGCTCAGTAATTTCCACATTCTTTTGGATCACTTCCCCTCCTCCCCCACCCTCAGAGTTAAAATTGTAACTTTATTTATGTCTCATTTGCCAACTTAATGTTTTCCACCATCTTGGGGAGCAGAAACTTTCACAGGCTTCACAGTTTTTCGCTTAGGCTCTGCTTTTTTGGAAGCTTTAGTAGCAGCCATTGTGGTCTTTTTAGATGTTTGTTTAGCCTTTTTGTGCTTCCTTTGCAGCCCCAATAGCCTGTTCTTGTTGAGTCTATTTAATTTTAGATTTTTTATTCCTTTTGGCCATTATATCTGTAAGAGATGCACCAGTAATAGCTCTCTGGTATTTGACTTGTACCGTAGCAGGTTCTTTTCTTTTGCATTTCTTCTGGTTGGTGCTTTTTGTGCTTTCTTCTGTAAAGGACAGTCCATTTTATCTGCCATGGGTTTCTTTTGGAAAGGAATGCCGATTCACATTTTGCATTAAGAAACTGGAACACCTTCTATAGTTCCTGGCGTAGCACCTCCCATGTCCAGGGTAGATCTCACACCTACTGAGCCTGCGCAGCTCAACCTTCATGGCTGTGAGTTCACAGGAGCAGGAGAGATGGCAAGAGAATGAGAAGATTATGGGTGGATCACTTTTTAAAATTTTTTTAATGGATAGAAAAATGATCTCTTCCAGTTCGTTGGCCAGATTTTTGGCATAGCCTGGTGAATACCTCCATGGCTGTATCTGTTATTTGAGACATAACAGTTGGTACTCTTTCAATTCCTAGGGCCTTATTTTTTCTTATTCCACAGCAGTGACCTTGATCCCTCGTTCTAGCTTCTAATGATAGTCGTTTGGCATTTTGTGGTATATTGATCTGCTTACATTTTTACGTGGCCCTTTTCCCTCTCTTTTTGTGTCTCTTCTCTTATAAGGATACTGTTCATACTTGATTGAGACTCACCCTACTCCATTTGGCCCCTTGTTAGTTACTAACATTTTCAAAGATCCTATTTTCAAAAAAGATCACATTCACATATACTGAATGTTAGAACTTTAGCCTATATTTTTTGGAAGATAAAACTCAATTCTTTTTTCCTCCACTCTGATGGATTATTCTTCTTAGGTTTTTTTAAAAGGTGTATCCTATATATATTGAAAGGTAAACTGTTTAAAAATCTAGTTCTTAATTATTAAGGACTGAGATTTCCCAGGATTGTGGAGTGGATACAGTGATTTGATATGTCATTTTATCTAATTTCTGTAAGTACTGTTTTAATCAGTAGTTCAGAATTTTACTCAACCCTCTACTAAATTAATGAGACATCTTCCATAGTCTCCTGGGAATTTCTCAGGGGCACTGGGATGCCATGACTTGGGAATGTATTCACTTTACATTTGTTCATTTATTTGTATATATTCTGAATACATGTTTGTGTAAAAGACTACTTTTGCAGTAATTTCTTAGCTTTGACTGAAACTAGGAAGGGAGGCCTGGCAGTCAAGTCTTGAAAAATTAGTCAATGGAAACTTTATTAATTACAGCAGATTATTATCCAGTAATAAAGGAGGATTAGCTCACTGAATGAGAAGGAACTCTAAGTACGTAGTGGCTGCAATGATAGATTTAGGCATACCAATAATTGTGGAGATGGCGTATGACCAGACAACATTTTGTTCTCTTGTACATGGGGTGGCCATGAGATGACTTGCTGGCAGATAACAACAAAATTTGATACATACAAATGGATGAAGCCATGTTTCATTTTTGTTTAATTTATCAAATAAATTGTGTCACTGTGTTCTCACTTCCCTCTGTATTGAAAACAAAGATATGAATCAGTGCCTGTACTACAGTAATGCCCAGCTGACATCACCTCAAAAGGGGCTCCTATCATATGTATAATACACTAAAAAATAAAACACTTAGGGCAAAAAGTAGACATTTATCCAAGTGCCTACTAGTTGCCTCCCATGTCATGGAAAAAATGATTCTCAGTAGGCAGAGTAAAATTGCTTTAATATGGGAATGCCTCCAAAACATTTTCTCATCAGACTTAGAAGTAATCCAATTTAGTGTCATGGGCGCTTCCTATCCTGTTCTTTCACCACTGCTCTTCCTGCTTATTTTAGGAAAGACTAGCTGACCGAAATTGTCATTTCTTTGTACAAGTCAAAGTTTTAATCTAAACAGTTTCTTAGCTTTTACTTATATCATTGTTGAGAGTGTTATTTTTCAACACTGAGATTATAACACTGCTTCAGAAGTGGCATTAAATGGGTCAGAATACCCTGTTGTTGTTGTTGTTATGTGCCGTCGAGTTGTTTGCGACTCGTAACGACCCTATGCACAACAACCCTAAACCCTGCTCTATCCTGCACCAACCGCACTGCCTCTGACACACCCATCCCGATTACCCCAGTCACCGAATCAATCCATCTCATAGAGCATCTTCCCCTCCTGTGCTGTCCCTCTACCCTCCCAAGCATGATGTCCCTCTCCAAGGACCCGTCCCTCCTGGCAACATGTCCAAAGTATGTCAGACGAAGCCCCAGAATCCTTGCCTCCAAGGAGTAGCTTGGTTTAATCCTCTCCAAGATGAATCTGTTTTCCTGGCAGTCCATGGTACATTCAGTACTCTTCTCCAGCACCACAGCTCAAAGGCATCAACTCTCCTTCTGTCCTCCCTAGTCATTGTCCAACTCTCTGATGCATAACAAGTGATTGCAAAGACCATGGCCTGTATCAGGCACACCTTAGTCACCAGAGAGACACCGTTGCTCCTGAGTACTTTAGAGAGGTCCCTAACAGCAGACTTTCCCATCGCGAGACACTTTTTGATTTCCTGACTGCTGGTGCCAAGAGTGTTGACTGTGGAGCCGAGCAGACTGAAGCTGTGAACAATCTCAATCTCTTCGCCATCCATCCTGACGCTGCCAATTGGTCCAGTGGTGAGAATCTTTGTCTTCTTGACATTGAGCCTCAGCCTAGGTTTCTTTATTCTCACTGTGTCAGTGCTAAGCCAGCTGGAGTGGGAAAAGGGTGACGATTTTATTGGAGGTAGATGTGAAAATTGGTTTAGGTATGAGCCTACACTATAGTGGAGAGTTAGACTGAAGGCAGATGAACTTGAAGCAGCATATGTTTGGACCCCATATAGAACATAGGGTACATGAGGGAATGATGGCCCATATGTGTTCTAATTTATCACTGAAAAATTATTCTTCAGGATTCTAAATAGTTGAGTGTAATAAGGCGATCCACGGAACAGAAACTGAGTCCTAGATCATCTCAGTAGTGAATGTTAAGTGTTTCCAACTGCAAAAGTAATTATTT